AGAGAGAGAGAGAGAGAGAAAGAAAGAAAGAAAGAAAGAAAGAAAGAAAGAAAGAAAGAAAGAAAGAAAGAAAGAAAGAAAACTGAAATTTCACTGGGCATGGTGGCGAACACCTGTAATCCCAGCACTTGGGAGGCTGAGACAGGAGAATCGCTGTGAGTTTGAGACCAGCCTGGGCCACACAGTGAGTTCCAGGTCAGTCTCAACTACATAGTGAGATCCTGTTTCAAAAAACCCCCAAAATAAAATAATAATAATAAAAATCTTTCTTGGTAGATTTTTTTCCTTTCGTCATCAGCCTAAAGCCATTCTTTGGAGGCGGGGTGAGACAAGGCCTTGCTCTGTAGTTCAGGTTGGCCTTGAACTCACTGTGTAGCCCAGACAGGCTTCAAATTCACAGTGATCCTCCTGCCTCAGCCTCCCAAGTGCTGAGATTAAAGGAATGTGCCACCATGTTAAGTTTGAGACGCCTGGGCCACACAGTGAGTTCCAGGTCAGTCTCAACTACATAGTGAGATCCTGTTTCAAAAAACCCCCAAAATAAAATAATAATAATAAAAATCTTTCTTGGTAGATTTTTTTCCTTTCGTCATCAGCCTAAAGCCATTCTTTGGAGGCGGGGTGAGACAAGGCCTTGCTCTGTAGTTCAGGTTGGCCTTGAACTCACTGTGTAGCCCAGACAGGCTTCAAATTCACAGTGATCCTCCTGCCTCAGCCTCCCAAGTGCTGAGATTAAAGGAATGTGCCACCATGTTTGGCTCTAAGGCGTTTCATGTAGTATTCTCATTTCAGTGTAGGTGTTTGTAGTAAGAACCTTAGCTTGAAAAATCCTGTAATTGACTGTTTTACAGTTCCTCATTTCTGCCTCATAAAAGAATCTTCAGAATTCTCACCAGAGATCATCCTTTGGGATAACAATAATGTTGATCATAGAAAATGATATCTGTAATTTTAGAGCCAAAAAAGCTATCAGTGAGGCCAGGCACATTAGCGCACACCTGTAATCCCAGCACTCAGGAGGCTGAGGCAGGAGGATCTTGGAGAGTTTGAGGCCAGCCTGAGAGACATAGTGACTTCAAGGCCAGCCAGAACTACATAGTGAGACCTTGTCTTAAACAAAACAAAACCAGGACCAGGGATTTAGCTCAGTGGTTCTGCTGCCTGCCTCGAAAGCACAAGGACCAGAGTTCAATCCCTGGTACAAAACAAAACAAAAAAAGGTTATACAGAAATGCCTAGTGGGCAGAACCAGTGCATTCTTGCTGACTGGCTGTGCCTTGAGGGTGAGAAAACAGACATGGCCAGAGATCACCATGCCAGGCACATGCACCGGCCCAGAGCTGACACCATTTCATTTTCAAGCCTCTAGTCAGCCTGTACCACTTTATATGACCTGGGAGACACTTACTCCTTCCCATTAGAAGTCACTTAGGCTGAGATCCACACCAGCAAGTATAGGACAGGTTTCACCGCCCAGCAACAGCTGTTTGACTTCATGTTTGCAGCAGTCCTGGAGGCCCCTTTCCCTGTGGGCCAAATGGGTTATTGAGTACCCTTGGCTCAAGAACATCATCAATTTCCTCATCATTTGTAATGCAGTTAGTTGTACCAACAATTACAATAGAATTGCTGGATTCCACAAACGACAGTCTGTGGCCCCCGAAGCTGTCTTTGGAGGTGTCAGTTTGGTTTATCTTGCCTGTTTTCATTCTGGAAATCTATCTGAGGGGGGTAGCCAGATTCTCCCTGGATTGGAGGAATGCTTCGAAAGTCTTTGACTTCACTGTCACCCTGTTGCCCTTGCTGCATGAAATCTTGGGTGCCGGGCAGGGTATCAGGCCATCCTGTGTGCTTGAGCTGCTGCGATTCTGCGGTGAGATGAGGTGTTTCCGGCTCTATGCATAGTTTCATCAAGTCCATGTTATCGTTTTGGCCCAGGTCAGGACCTTCAAGAGCATCTGATTTCACTTCATGGTGCTGCTCCTCCTCTTCTACATTTTTGCCATAGCTGGTGACTACTTTTTTAAGGATTTCACCTGTTCGACTCATCAGGACCTGGTGTACAAGGAGCCCTTTTTGGGCCTGCCAAACTGTCCTCATCACTTCATGATGGACCACTGGAACACGCTGCTCCAGGACATCTGGAAGGGGCCGGAAGTCAACTCTGTCATCTGCAGCACCCATGTCACCCTCTGGGTGCTGCTGGGCTCCATCACTTTTTTTTATGTACTGGGGATTGAACTTGGGACCTTGTGCTTGAAAGGCAGGCGGCAGAACCACTAAGCTAAATCCCCAGCCCTCTGTTGTTTTTTGAAGTGTCATAATAAGCATTATGGCTATTAACTTTCAGGGCCATGGCTAATAACATCCGGAATGAGCTGGATAAGGCCACTCAGCACAAAGCAGATGTCCTCAAGCCCTCAGGAGGAGATGGAACCTGTCCTTCACAGCACTGAGGCCAAGCCACAGCAAAATCAATGCCAGAGAAGTCAGTCAACAAAGGATGTCGTTGGACTTCCAAGAAGCTTCTGAAAAAGTCTAAACTGAGCTCTGGCAAAACTTTGCCAAGGGACTTCTGGGACTTGGTTCCAGGTAATTATTTATTTAGTGAAAGATGAATTCTATTATGCATAAAGATAGGGCCGTCTAAGTACTTAGTGTGCATTATTTTATTTCTTTTTTTCATTCATTAATTTTAATGGCACATTTCATTTTAGGTATACAACACGATGATATTCATCATCGGGAATTTGTACCTTTAGATGATGTATCTTAGGTGCTTTTTTTTTTTTTTTTTTTTTTTTTTTTTGG